GATCATGGGACTTAGTAACTGCGGTTATAGTTATAACTACTACTTATAACCCCAATTAAGGTACTTATAGCCCTACTTACTAAGTGGGTTAGTTTAAAGGAAACTACAGGTGGGGAGTTTAGCGTATATAGGGCTTCTATAAGGCTTCTACACGGTTCATAGACCTTCCGTAAGGCTGCTATATCGGCAACTGCCCACCTGAAAATATCCCAGAGTTTGTGGCTTGGAGAGGGTTTAGGGTTTAAGGTTTACGGTTTGGGGCTTAGGGTGTAGCTGCTCAGGGTTTTGCTGGGTGCTTGTTGGCTACAACTTTACATTTTTGTTATCATAAACTCCCAACCCTAAACCCTAAACCCTAAAACCCTAAACCCTAAGCCCTAAACCCCAATATGGAGCCAGGTTAGGGGCTTGGACTCTGTAGGGTTTGTCTGTCGTCTGCGCTGAAGACGCTCCAACCTTTCGGGGACCTGCACTCCTTCTGCGGTTGCAGGGTGTTGGCGATTGAGAGGTTTAGGGCTGATGGCTTTGAGGGTTTAGGGGTTTAGGGCTTAGGGTTTAGGGATTTAGGGGTTTAGTGTTTAGGGGTTTTGGGGGTTGAGGGTTTCGCGAGGTTCCTCCAGCGGCGGAAGCCCTAAACCCTACCCGAAGGGCCTTTATACTTTTGGGACGCCTGATACTGTTGCTACTGAGACGTCAAAGAGACCCAAGCGCTCTCTTTAGGAGGTTCCGGGCCCTCCCAAAAAAAGATACCAGGACCATTGGGGTAACCTGCGTCTCATACACAGAGCATATCTGCATTTATGGATACATGTATACTATACTTATACATATATACGTATATAGATAGATAGATAGATAGATAGATAGATAGACGACAGACAGACAGATAGATAGATAGATAGATAGATGGATATACATATGTACATATATATGCATATGGACATATGTATATACATATGCATACCATGTAACATTTTCTACGTGTATATATCTACGTACACATACATACATACATACATGCATGCATGCATGCATGGATGGATGCTTGGATGGATGATTGGATGGATGATTGGATGGATGGATGGATGGATGGATGGATGGATGGATGGATGGATGCATGCATGCATGCATGCATGCATGCATGCATGCATGCATGTGTTTGTGTATGTATATATATACACATACATACACACATACATAGTATATATGAAGGTATGTATGCATGTATGTATGTATGCATGCATGTATGTAGGCATAATTGTATATGTATATATGTACTGATGCATAGGGGGACTGGGCAAGTAGCTATTTTATGGACTTATAAGCATCATAACCACAGTTAGAGTCCCGTTTAGGTTACTTACAAGTCTACTTGTTGCCTACTTACGAAGTCCCCCGACCCTCCCAGTACTGACGAGCCCAACACACCTGAAAGGTCAGAGTTTTAAATCCTAAACCCTAAACCCTAAACCCTAAATCCTAAATCCTAAGCCCTGACGAGCCTGCATCCCCTTTCAAACCCTTTACAGGCCCTCGAAGACCCTGTAAAGTTGTCTGAGACACTCGAAAAAACCTGTAGAACAGGCCTGAACAATTAGAGCAGCCCCTTTGGGGATCTGTGGACTAGTGTAGTTAGAGTAGTCCTTTTGGTCTACTGTCACTGAAACTCCGTGGAATAGTGTTGGAAATTATTCAACTCCCCCAGCGCAGAACCTTCAAACAACCCCAGAACAAGCAGCGGTTCGACCTCATAGCTGCCATCAATGAGCCTCGGTGGGTTTAGGGTTTGTGGGTTTAGGGCTTAGGGTTTAGGGTTTAGACACTCCAAACTCTTATAAACACCCCAAAACCCCGAACCGTTCACCCCTGAAAACAACCCTAAGCCCCAAACCCTAAGCCCTAGACTAGATCTTCAACAACCCGACATCCCTTCACAACCCATCACAAAACCCTAGACAGCAAAAAAACGGCCACAAACAAAACCCATACTAAACACTCTGTTTTGATCCGGCACAAACCTGCGAAGCCCTCATACGCTCAAAGCCCGAAAAAAATCCAATAAACCCAAACCCTAGACCCTAGACCCTAAACTCCAAACCCTACCCCAACAGACCTTAAACCCTAAACCTTACCCCAACAGATCCCAAACCCTAAACCCTAGACCTTACCCCAACAGACCCGAAACCCTAAACCCTAAACCTTACCCCAACAGACCCGAAACCCTAAACCCTAAACCTTACCCCAACAGACCCTAAACCCTAAACGGCTAGAAAGCCCAAGCTCAAACCTGGCCTCAAGCTCGCATGGTTGAAGCCCACTCGCCCGGAGTTGCAGCTGTACACCGTGGGGGAGGCGGTGCAATACCTGACTGAGATCCCGTTTAGGGTTTAGGGTTTAAGGGTTTAGGGGTTTAGGGTTTAGGGGTGTAGGGTTTAGGGGTTTAGGGTTTAGGGTTCCGGGTTTAGGGTTTAGGGGTTTGGGTTTAGGGATCAACCTTTAGGGATTAAGGTTTAGGGTTTAGGGGTTTAGGGTTCAGGGTTTAGGGGTTTAGGGTTTAGGGTTTGGGGCTAAACCAACTACTTGGAGGGTCGGGGGACTTCGTAGGTAGGTAATAAGTAGACTTATTATGAGTGCCCTAAAGTGGATCCTAAGTTGGGGTTATGGTACTTATAAGTCTATAAAAGAACTGCTTGCTAAGTCCCCCCGGCCCTCCAAGTAAACCCTGACCGTCGTGTAGGGGGTTTCGCGTTCAGAGCTCCGGGTCTTGGGCTGAGGGCTTAAAGCTGCGATGAGGGCAACAAGGCATCTAATTGTGATACGGCTGATGGTATAAATCCTGCATGACCCCATAATAAGGAATAGACCATAATTCCCATAGTTTGGGGTCCTTAAGGTAATGCAGGATTTATTTATCATCAACCGTAGGTGGCTGTGCTTCCTGGGGGCTTTGAACCCGAAGCTTCTGGGATCTGAAATCTTCTCGCGCCGCTTCTTTGCTTGCAACTATTCTAAGAGGGCTCAAGATTAAAGCTTTAGGGCTCTTGGGTTGTAGGGATTAGGGTGAGGGCTTTATCAACTTCGGCTATAGGGTTTTAGGCTTTAAGGTTTAGGGCTTAGGGCCTTAGGGTTTAGGGTTCAGGGTTTAGGGTTCAGGGTTTAGGATTCAGGGTTTAGGGTTTAGGGTTTAGGGTTTGGGTTCAGGGTTCGGGGGTTCAGGGTTTAGGGTTTCGGGTTCCGGGCCTCGGGTTCCCCAAACCCAGAAGCCTGCAACATAGGGCCCTGAATAAGCAGAATAGGGTGTCTCCTAAGGGCTCCCCTAAATGGTTCTGTAAGGGTCGGCATACTAATATGGTCCATGGTGTATAGTTACAATAGGAACCCCACAGACTACGAGTATCATTCAGAGTTGAGGGTTTGGGCAGTTTCAGCATTCGGGTATATCACGGCAAACGACGGCCGCTGAGTGGTAGTCGTTATTGTGGTCGTGGTCGTTGTAGTTGTCGTGGTCGTCGTGGTCGTCGTGGTCGTCGTGGTTGTCGTGGTCGTGGTACTCGTGCTGGGCGTGGGTGTGGTAGAGCCTGGCGAATCACGCGATGGGAATATCGCAAAGCCTGAACCATCATAAACCCTAAACGATAGCACCCCTAGCTTTAAACCCTGAACACCTGAACCACTGAACCGCTAAACCCCACCCCCTCTTTTAAGCGATAACACACACACACACCATCAAACGCACACAGTAGTAAAAACAGACCCACATTCCAAACCGTGAACCAAATCCACGCACTGATACCTTCGGTAAATCGCCCAGACAAAGGTTTTGTGTGTAAGTCGAAGGTTCTTTACGACCGCCATGCGCCATCGATACTGCTTTTATACAGTGAGAAGACTCGTGCAAAGCGCGACGGCGCTGCCGCCAAGCGAGCGGAATGACTTGGATGCTCTTGTACGTAAGACCCAGAAGGTCTACTCCTAGCTTAGTATCTTTGATTAATATCTTCCGGGACGAATTCTACTCCTTGGCCGAGACCACTTCTAGCCAATGTGGGGGCGGAGAACCTCGTTTGCTGTTCCTCGGGATACCTACTCTGTCTTTATATCCTGGGAAGAAGATTACATGGGTGGTTGCGAAGAGTAGCTACATGTCAGTGCTTCAAGCCCTAAACCCAACCCATGGCCCTAAACCCAAAACCGAATGCGAAAGCGTCCAAAGATGTCCAGAGAGATCTGCCTCTGCTCTTATACGTGGTCTATCGCCGACATCACGGAGTAGGGCTTCGGGTTTAGCGGTTGGTGGACACCACGCAGAAGAGCTGAGTAAAGAACACTTGAAAAGATGGAACTAGACTGAATCAGCCTCGGAGAATCATGTGGAATTCTATTGATGAATACAATCCGATGTTATCCCTGATCAAGAAGAAAACCAGAACTAACTCTACCAGATATTAATAGAGCCGCAAATCATACTCTCCTGTCCCGGGCCTATGAGGGGTCCATCACCCAAAGACCCGCTCCACGACAGCAGCAGGCAGAGCCAGCGCAGGGCAGCCCGCCAAGGATGCGAATGCAAAGCCATCGGGCCGGTAGAGACTGCCCCTAAACCCCAAACCCTAAACCCCAAACCCTAAACCCTAAACCCCAAACCCTAAACCCTAAACCGACCGTAAACCCGAAGAGGCCTTGAAGGTCGACCGTAAACCTTAAGAGCTTAGGCCTTCGGGTGAGCAAAGCCCGACACAATCCGTATTCTAACCTTTAAAAAATTTGTAGAAACCCTTATTCGAACCCTTGTACGAAGCCTACTGGTAAGGGGGAATGACTAAGCGCCAGTTCCTTCGGACAAAGGCGAGCCAGCATTTGTTTCAGGGCTTCTTCTACGGATTCCCCTAAGGATTCCTGTGTGGAACCCTTAAAGGACCCCTTAACGGAACCCTTAAAGGAACCCTTCAAGGAACCCTTACACGAACCCCTTTAAAGAAACCCTTCAAAGGAACCCTTCAAAGGAACCCTTGAAAGGAACCCTTCAAAGAGCCCTTAAAAGAGCCATTAAAAGGAACCCTTCAAGAGCCCTTAAAAGAGCCCTTAAAA